TTTTTTTTTTCCTATCTTGACCTTTTATGATAGATTGTGGTGGTGCCTGATTAAAGAAAGACTTAGACCAAGAATGAGCCTGCTCTGTTCTCAGAACTAGTCTGTTCTGATTTCTCTGGGAACTGTCCCTCTGAAGAAAGAGTTTTCTCTGTATTTATTTAAACAGCATATCTAGCATGATATGGGAAAGGAATAGGAATGTTTTCTTAACCTTTAACCAGGAAAGAAGTTGCTTTTTCAGACCCCTACAGATCTAGAACAGCATACAAAAACCACAAAGGGATGTTACTAACCTATGTCCGCATATTGCTTGTGATGTTTACTATGGATAATCTGTTGCTTTGGATGTCATTGCTGCTTCCAGCGGTATTTCCACAACATACACATTATTCTAGGCCAGGGGTGTGGAAGGGTCATCAGTGAGAAGTAAGGAACATTGTTTATGATAGGGAGCCCAAGGCCTAGTAAGATTGTTTACATCATTTTCCTAAAGGTTAGTTAAGTTTAAATAATACAAATTTAATACAGGGCTGTAAAGATGGCTCAGTGGTTAAGAACACTGACTGTTTTTGCAGAAGACCTGGGTTCAAATCCCAGCACCCACATGGCAGCTAACAACCATCTGTAACTCCAGTTCCAGGGGATCTGACAGTCTCTTCTGTCCTCTGTGGGCACTGTATGACATGGGTGCACTTACCTACATGCAGACAATATACGCATACACATAAAAATATTAAATTTAATACAGTAGGAAGGCAGATTGAATACATAGTGTTAAATGATCTCAAAATATGATGGATTAGAAGATTAGGTAAAATTCCCATTTGTAACAAAAGATATTTCAGAAAAGTCATTCTCACAATAGATCATTGAGCAATTTTTAAATGTACTTTTTTGTTGTCCAAACTCCACATACTGGTATGAGGTGCCTAATGTCGGCTTTGAGGCAAAGTAACAACACTTAAGAAGGTGAGAAATATTATGAGCTAAATATGAGTGAACATGGACAGGGAATATGGATTCAAGTTATTCTGAATAGCACCTTTAGTTGTGGAAGCAGTTATAGGAACTGTTATAGCCACAAAACAAAGGTGGCTGTAAATAAAATACATAGACCAATTACACTGATGGGGGCATTATGTAAGGACTAGACCAAATTGGGTAAATCCTGGCTCTGGGCTTCAGATGTTACATTCTTTGAGTTTGGTAAAGGAGGGCTGGAGAGATGGCTCAGAGTAGTTAGGAGTACTGCTCTTGCAAGAGACCTGAGTTTGGTTCCCAGCACTCATGTCAGAGGGCTCACAACTGACGGGGACTCCAGCTGTGGGGTATCTGATGCCTTTGGCCTTCGGGGGCATCTGCGCTTATAAGCACATACCCACACCTTGACACACATACTAAACACAATACATTTTAAAACAAGATTGGTAATGTCTGGTTTGCCAAGCTTACTAATACAAGTCTTACCTAATACCATAAGGAAGTTGGGCCAAATAGGGAGACTGAAGGTGAAGGCTATTAAAGGGACTAAGGCCGAGGTCGTTTTGGCTGTCTTTGTACAGCGTATTGTTTGGTCAGTCAAGGTAAGGTGGTTCCCCATAGTCTCTTAGGAGTCTCAATTTTCACTAAGCTCCAAGAAAACAAGGTAAATTGGTGATTGCAAAATCCCAAATACACACAACCCACCTACACCCAGGACTTAGAGGAAAGACTGCATGCAACTGGTCAATAAGCCCAAGATCTCAGAAAAGGGCCGCTTATCCACACGCGGTGGTTGCCTCGTCCAGGCAATGTGGGGAATGGCCCGTGTGAAGACGGGCGGTGTAGTGCGGATGGAGGCGGAGGTTTTACCGCAGTGCTGCGGAGAGCGCGCAGCGGTAGGCAGGAGGGGGAGAGCGGTTGCCGGCGCGCACCGGGAGAAGCCCCGCAGCCGGGTCCGCGGGAAGCCGGGCCCTTCCGGGCCGAGGCCGGGCCCAGTGCCCGGAAGCCGAGAGGCCGAGAGGCCCGGACGCCGCAGCTATGGAGCGAAGCGAGCCCCGCGGAGCCGGCTCCCCGCCTCCCTCCAGCGACTGGGGCCGCCTGGAGGCCGCCATCCTCAGCGGCTGGAGGACCTTCTGGCAGTCGGTGGGCAAGGAGCGGGCGGTGCGGCCTGCGGCGCGGGAGAACGCGGAGGAGGAGGCCTCCATGCTGACGGGGCTACCGGTGAGCGCAGGCTGGACCCCGGCCTGGGACCGCGGGCGCCGCCTCCAGCCTTTACCAGGTGTTGTCACCTGGAAGTGAGATGGCCAGAATCGCCTTGACATTGACTCCTGGTAGTGCCCGACGGCCAAGGTCACCCCGCACCTCACACTAGTGACCCCCAGATCACCCCGAGACCTGTCAGTCTCCCAAACAGGCTCCTAGGAATAGACCTCTGGACTTTAGGCTTGGTGGGTTAGCCCGGGAAAGCATTCCAGTCTCTGTTCTGCACACCTCTCTAGTTCCAGGCTCAATGTATGCAAAATACGTGGGGGGTGGGGCTCGCCCTGCCGATAACTCTAATAAATCCTAAATAACAAAACTGCTACGTAGTTGAAAATAAATGAAGTTACAAGGGCCTCAAATTAGAAGAGGCCACAAAGATGTTCGTAACTTGGCTGGTGTTCAAGTTTCAGGGAGATTGGAAAATGAAGAGATTATAAATTCTTGACAATTACAAGTCTCTGATCGCAGTTGGATTATTGACACCTCCTCGCTTTCCCCTGGGAAACCATTAATAGACTGTATAGATAATTCAGATGACAGATTCACACTCTTCCATTTGATCTAATGATAAAAATGAGAAATTTGTCCACTTGACACATATTTTATTATGAAGAACAAATTATTTCCTCAACCAATTAACAACTGGTGTATCAAAAATTCCCCTGGGAAGAAATTAAAGAAACCAGTTATTTTGCTTGAAAAATAAGACAGTGCTTGGATTTTCAAAAATGTTTCAAGTGTGTTAGGAATTAAAGTTTACTTGTGACTTTTTTCCTCCAATTCCAGGAAAACAAGATAGACTTAAGTCTTATAAATACCAATTAGTTGAGTTGAGCTTTAGTATAATAATTCTTCGTTGATTGTCTGCTTTATTACCATTTTTCCAAGACAAATTATTTTCCCATGTGCTGCTTGCTTCTGTTTCAGATTGATGTGCAGCTGTACATTTTGTCTTTTCTTTCGCCCCATGAGCTGTGTCAATTGGGAAGTACAAATCATTATTGGAATGGAACTGTACGAGATCCAATTCTGTGGAGATTTTTTCTGTTGAGGGATCTCCCTTCTTGGTCTTCTGTTGACTGGAAGTCACTTCCAGATCTAGAAATCTTAAAGAAGCCTATATCTGAGGTCACTGATAGCACATGTTTTGATTACATGGAAGTGTAAGTATCTATTTCTATGAATGAGAGGAGAGAGTAAATTTTACTTCAATAGTTCACATTTGTTCTGATCTACTACCAACCAGTTTGTTGCATGGAATTTGAGTCTGAATGTCCTCTTGTTGAAATTGGGGGCTTTGTTAACTGACATCCTTTAAAGCCTCTTTCAGCTTTAACCTTTTATTTTCCTGTGCTGCCTGACTAGTATTTGAATAATTATATGTGGTACATATGGCAAGAAATAAAGCATGTCGTAAAATTCTCATCTTTATACTTGCCATTTTGTTGAACAGTAAATGCTTTTCCATATTCAGAGAAGGGATGTCTAGAGACCAGAAAACAATCCTGTGGCAAGGAAGGAAACTGTTCTTAAGACTAAGAAATAAGATTTTGTTATTACTCCAAAGCCTTGATGTTTCTTGAGTATCATGTGCATGAGAAAATTAATTTTAACACACAAATGTCTTATATTGGATTCTGTGGAGGTATGCTTTTGTATGCCTACTAATTTTGTTCAGTTTAGAGGTTTTATCTTGATGTTAAGGATGTAGAATTGAAGTTTGGAGAGGTTATGATTTACCTAAAGTTATAGCATATGGGGGATTTTCAGCACCATCATGCTCTTTCAAAGCTGTTCATGTCATTGTGTCTAGGTAAAACCTGCTTTATTGAGAACCCCACATTAAAGCATTGTAAAAGAAATTAAAAGAATATTTGTACTTTAGGTAAGAATTATTTTTTTACTGTGCTAGATTCATTAGCTACATATAGGATTTTTCACTTTTATTTGTTAACCTTTCCTTATTCTGGTTCAGATGCCATTATGTCAGGTGTTATGAGATGACTAGATGAAAATGTATATGATCTTTATAGATAATTTCAAATCCCATTGTTGTTTGCTTCTTTCTTTCTTTTTTTTTTTTTTTTGTCTTTTTGAGACAGGGTCTCCCTGTAGTCCCAGCTGGCCTGGAACTCACTTTGTAGACCAGGCTGGCCTTGAACTCATACAGATCCTCCTGCCTCTGCCTCCCGAGTGCTGGGATTAAAGGTGTACTCCACCACATCCGGCTCCATTGTTCTTTTTGTAAAATTACAATTACATTTTTTTGTGTCTGTATTTGTATGGGCACACATATGTGGAGGTCAGAGGACAACTTGCAGGAGTCCATTCTTTCCTTCTACCATGTGGCTCCTGGGAATTGAACTCAGGTCATTAGACTTGGCAGCAAATGCCTTTACTTGCTGAGTCATCTTGCCAGCTCATTATTGTTTGTTTCCTATAATTTTTGCTTTTCTAGATTTTCAGTAAGGAGAATTTGAGCCTCCCTGTGTAATTAATCTTTGAAATTGCTATTACACTAGAGTTGTTAAAAGAAGTATCCAAGAAATTTGGGTATATTGTAGCCTTAGTAATATTTTTCATTCCTAGGAACTTATGCTAATTATCTGTATAGTCTATCTTTATTATAGGTGTTCTCGATCTTAATTTATACTCTTGACATTTTTGGACCAGTTGTGGGGGACTGTGCTGGGAATTGTAGGATATATAGTAGAATCTCTGGATCTGCTCACTAGCTGTAGTAACATGACTCCCTCCTTCCAGATGTGAAAATGAAAGTGTTCAGACATTGTCACACAGCCTCCAGGATGAGGGAGTAAAATCTCAGGAAGAGAGCTATTGTTTAGTGTAATGAAAGATGACTGCCCCTGCTCTCTAGCTCTGTGTTTTTCCTTGTCATGCCACTCTATGTACATGTTACTATGTCTAGCAAGAACTCAGTAAATTATATAATTCTTGAATGAACAACTAACTTGTTTTAATTTCTAATTGTGACAATTTCATGCAGTTATAAAATGTGCTGTCCATATACAAGAAGAGCCTTGAAATCCAGCCGTCCTATGTATGGAGCTGTTACCTCTTTTTTACACTCATTGATTATTCAGAATGAACCCCGATTTGCTATGTTTGGACCAGGTTTGGAAGAATTGAACACATCTTTGGTGTTGAGTTTGATGTCTTCTGAGGAACTTTGCCCTACTGCTGGTTTGCCTCAGAGACAGATCGATGGTAATAATTTCATGTTAATATACAATACAAAGTAATGCAAGCACTTGGAACTTGACTTTAGTGTTAAAGAGAAAGACAGTCATTTTTTTTTTTTAATTTCCTGTAATGAAATACAGAAATTTGTTGGATGGGCCCCTTGTTCCCATTAAACTGAAAAAAAAAAATAGTAAATTTTCCCTTAACATCTCAAATTTGTGTAATCTAGAATTTAGTATTAAAATAATTGTGTTGTATTTGAATAGTCCATATCATGTTTACCATAAGAGAAATTTATCAAAAAAGCAGTGAACCTTTAATTGCAAATTTTTAAAAATATTTTGTTATTTTTATTTTATGTGTATGAGTGTATTGCCTGCATGTATGTGAGTGCACCCATGTTGTGCAGTGCCATGGAGGTCAGAAGAGGGCTTTGGATTCCCCTGGAACTGGAGTTAAGGATGGTTCATAGCCACCGTGTGGGTGCTGGGAATCGAACCTGGGTCCTCTGCAAGAAAGTCAGTGCTCTTAACATCTGAGCCATCTCTCCAGCCCCAAATTATTTTTATATATGTTGGGATTGTTTTTTTGTGTGTTTTGTCTTGTTTTTTTTTTTTTTTTTTTTTTAGAAGGAGGTGGAATATATGTAAAATGAAGATTTGAATAGTCTGGCCTGAAATTCACTATGTAGACCAGGCTGGCCTTGAACTCACAGAGATCCGCCTGCCTTTGCCTCCTGAGAGCTGGGATTAAAGGTGTGCACCACCATACCTGGCCTGGGATTTTTTTTTTAAGAATTATCACCTCTCCTATATCGCCCCCCCCCAACAAAAAGAACCAGCAGGTAACTTTTTGGTAAGGTGGGATACTAATAAACATAAGTAATAACACAATTTAAGATACGCTTTACTATTAAATGGTGGAAGCACAGAATCTTGGTCTTCCATGAAGATCATGGGTCTAAATAAGGACACAGACAAGTATTTAGATGATTAGAATATGATTAGTAAGGTTCTGAATAGAAAGCTAAGAGTCAAAGAAGGCTATCCATTGAATAAGATGCTTCTTGTAGGTTTTCAGGTTTAGCAGCTGTACACCCTTAAAAGAAGAAGGGCGAATGCACTACAGGCAGGGAAGGCAAGACTACATTTCTAAAAGCACAAAGCTCTAAATCTAGAAAGAGTGGAGCTGTGAAAAATAACAACAACATGGGTAATTTGTGAGTATTTGGGAGCTGCTGAATAAGCTCCCAGAGGAGCTTGAGATGATCAGAATTTGATTTTAGAAAGATTCTTCTGGCTCCTGAGTAAGAATTGAGTAAGGCGCTAAAGAAGCCACCATCATCTATGGTAAAAGTGTGAAAACGATCTGAATAAGTCAATGTTAGTGCAGTGGAGAAGAGAGAATGACTATTGAGGATATAAAATTGACACAGTGAATATATATTAGTAGTGATGAGGATAGCTCCAGGTTTCTGCCTTGGGGTTTATGTTGGGTGATAAAGGTATTTGCTAGGGTAAGGAACCAGCACAGGAATGATTTTTTTTGCTGTTATTGGTGGCAGGAGCTAGGAATGGAATGTTGACTTTTATAGCTGGGACACACAAAGAGGAGTGCTGTGAACAGTCCAGTTGCACTGGGTTCCATGAAGGCAGGGACAGTGTCAGCTTTCCGTTTAGTTCTATCTGTGGTGCCAGACACATCATAGATTCCACACACATTTGGTAAGTAAATGACTTTTATGTGTCCAGATCAGAAGAGCAAGATACCAACATTGGGTCATCATAAGGAGTTCATATAGACTTGGAAGTTTGAAGGTATGGAGAGAAAGTGAGTTTTGCACTGAAATCTATAGTGGGGGGAAGGGCCATACAAAGCTCATAAATACAAAGTTGAGGAAAAAGACACAGTGCTTCAGCTGATTGATTTGTTTCTCAGATATGACTTTTCCAGAGGGCTCATGAGAAATAGTTTAGACATAGCATTGGGAGTAGAGAGTATCAGCCCACCTCTTCACCATGAGGTATGAGGAAATAAACAGTTCTGGTAATTGAGAATGAAGTATTACTTAGAGGCAGGCCCCTTTCAAGTAAGGGCATGTAGTGGGGGCAGCACTTCAAGAAAAGGTTGAGGATATAAGGAAATTTGGTGATTACCAAGAGGAAATTACATTCTCCAGATAGCAACTGAAGTGATTGAAAAGCCCAGTCTACTTATGCTTCAAACTCTACAAGGTAAGAGATGAATATGGCTTACATAATTGCTGAAGAAATTCAGAACAGCATGGGGATAGGTTGGCCTGTTAGATGTATTGAAAGGATAATTTCTGGAAGTAAGCTGATGAAAACAAAGATCAGAAACATTTGATTTTTGTTTCCATGAACTTTTTTGTATCAGACCTCATGGCTAAGGGGCATAGGGTCATGTAGTCTGGCATAGTTGCAGTGTCAGCACCCAATAGTCCAAATCTATACATGTATTGCCTAGAATAGTGACATGAGATGGCATGACATGGCTTATATAAGTAGAATTTTAAAGTTAATGGCATGAAGGCTTAAGGAGTCTCTAATGAGGTAAGTAGCAGCAGATTACATTAAGGTTTTGTTTCCTGAAGGCCCATGGGTTTGTAGAGAATAGAAATAATTAAAGGTATATCTACTATTACAAGAAAGGATAGTTGAAAGCAAGAGAATATAGGGGATTGATAAGAGGTGATGACAGAAGTCCAGATTCTTAATTTGAACTAAAGGGAGAATGGCGATGGAGAGAAGTGGACAGATCTGGGAGAATGTTCTTATAGCAAGAAGAAGTAGGACCATGGAATCCAAAACAATATTTTGTTTATTATTTTAATTTTATGTGTATAAGTATATTACCTGCATGTATATAAGTGCACCCTATGTCATGCAATGCCCATGGAGGTCAAAAGAGGGCATCGGATACTTTAGATCTGGAGTTATGAACAGTTGTTAACCACCATGTGGGTGCTGGGAATCAAACCCAGGTCCTCTACAAGAGCAGTCAGTGCTCTTAACTGCTGAGCCATCTCTCCAACCCCCAAAAAGTATTTTTCCAGAAGTTTAGAGTAGAACCAGACACCGATCATTAACACAAGCAAAAGAAAGAAAAATGTGAGAAAGGGACAGTAAAAGAGGCAGTGTTGGATGGCTCAGACACAGGAGTACGAAGCTGAGATTTAGCAGCTGTTACCTAGCAATCTAGGGGTATTACACAATAGACCTCAAGTAATCCTCACAATTGCCCAAAGAAGTATAGATCGTTTCTGGTTTTGTGTCAAAAGAGGCTCACAAATCCACAACTTTAGTGGCAAATTTTGGATTTCAAGTCACTCTGATTCCAAATTTCAGTGTCTTTAGTGTTCAAGTTTCTAAGGGATTTGCTCACTACAGGTTTATAAACTACTTTTCATAGAGGAGGAAGGGGACTTCACTGAATATATGCAAGGATAAGGTCAGTGGAAACATAAAATATGACAGTGAATCAGCGATGAGGATGGTTGGCAGTAGCTGCCATGGTTCTGCTGCCACTGACGAGAAAGCTGCTGCTGTTAGTGACACTGTTCTAAGAAGACTGTGAGGAGCCTGGCAGTACTTTGTTCCCTCTCCACATCTGTACTGCTTTGTGGAGCAGAGTTGCTACCACATCTTTTCTTGATCATAAGCACTGCATTTTATTCCAAAGTTGTACACAGCTTGCCAGTTTTTTTTTCTTTGTTCTTTTTGCTTTCACTGAGTAATTTTTTTAGTCTAATTTTTTTACTGTCTTATTATTGGCTTGCTTGGATCACAGTAACTTCCTCCTTTAGGTATTGGATCTGGAGTTAGTTTCCAGTTGAGCAATCAACACAAATTCAACATCCTGATACTATATTCGACTACCAGGTATGGCTGTCTATTTGGTGTCCTTCCAGAAACAGTAGGGGAACATTTAATGGGATGGAACTGATTAGTGACTTTTTATTATCTATATTTATGTTTTTCTTGCAGGAAGGAAAGGGACAGAGCAAGGGAAGAGCACACAAGTACAGTTAACAAGATGTTCAGCCTACAGAGTGAAGAAGATGACCAACATGGAAGCCGGTACAGTGTAATCCCACAGATTCAGAAGGTGTGTGAAGTCGTAGATGGGTTCATTTATGTCGCAAATGCTGAAGCTCATAAACGTAAGTGTCCTTCCATTCTCATTTCCAAAGGCTACATCATTCTTTCCAAAACAAATAATGATGACACCGTAACAATATAACAGCTAATTTTATCACTGTGATCTTCTGACCGTCATTGCTGATAGTGTTCTAAAGCCTTTTGGTACATTAGGATCACATGGGGAGTTTGTTAAATGTAGCTCCTGATTCCTAGCCATAGATTTGATCCATAGATGTTCTGAACATGTTTTTTTTTTTTTCTTTTTTATGTGTATGAGTAGATTGCCTGCATGTATGAAAGTGCACCCATATTGTGCAATGCTTGTGGAGGTCAGAAGAGATTATTGGATCCCCTGGAACTGGAGTTTGGATGGTTGTTAGCTATCATGTGGGTATTCGGAACCAAACCCTGGCCCTTTGCAAGAGCACCCAGTGCTGTTAACTGCTGCCTCTGGACATCTGGTTTTTATAAGCACCATTGAATCCTGATATATACCAAAGCTTGATTTTATAGCTATGTGAGTTTTTTTTAGACATGGGTTTTACTATTACTACGTAGCTATGTAGCCCTAGGTGGCCTGAAACTAGCTTTGGAGACCAGACTGGCTTTGAATCACAGAGAGAACTCAAAGCACTGCTTTCCAAATGCTGGAATAAGGTGCATGTGTCACCAAGCCTAGCCAGTTCTGTCTTTGTTAATTACTGATGCTTTCTTTGTCTCTGACTATATTCAAATAATTTATGCAGATTATTAAAATTTTTTTCTTTGTTCTTACCCACATAATAGAGAGGTGTGAGGATACTATGTTAATGAAGTACATTAAAGTTAATTAAGTTAATTAAATCAGTGGGTCGATAACACTCTCCAAATATTCTGAATAATTTTCATTGACCAAGGCTGTTTAAGTATGAAATCATTATTATCATTGGGCAGTAAACCAATATTAATTTTTCTCCAAATCATTTTTAGATAAGGTAAAACATAAATACATGATAAATGTTTATTATGTATACTGCTTATATAAATATATATAGAATACATGTTGTAGTTCTTTAGTATTTTGGTTTCAGCCTACCTTGAATTTATTTTCTACCAATCATTTCAGTCATTGCAGGCAGTTATACTTTGAAATCCTGGCTAAATTATTCATAAGAAAATTTCTGTTATTATGGAATTACCTATAAAATGAAAAATAGAAGAAAAATAAAAGGTGAATTCATTTGTTTAACAAACAGCTGTTGAGTTCCAAATAGTTGGAGAGGTCAGACAATGTATTTAGTTGTGGGGATATGATTGTAAACTGACACAAACAGAGCTCATTTTATCTAGTCTTCCAATTTGCTTCCCTATAGATAGGTTAAAAACAAAGAGTAGAGTAGTAGTCTGGCATATCTGAGGCCCCATGTTCAATCCCAAACACCACAAAAGGAAAAAGAAAAGTAAGTAAAAAAAAAATCATATGACACAAAAATAATTTATATGTACTTACTAGATTTGTTCCATCAAGCTCTATAGATTTTCACTTGAAACTTAGTAGTAGGACAGGAGACCTCTGAGCACCCTCCTTGGTGATAAAGACATGGGTTGATCAGCTATTATGTAGGGATGGGGTCAGGTATACACTCCTGTTTATTAGATCCTTTCCTGCCAATGGGATAGGATCAGAAATCCTCCTGCCTCTCATTCCATTGCTGCTGGAGAGAAAGGTAGAGGCAAAGCTCTTTGCCCTAGCAAAGAAGTAGGAAAGCATTTTGTGTGAAGCACCCTGCACTGGTCCACATTTGTTTCCTGATTCTGTGGAGGGAAGGAAATTTGCACTGAAGACCTTTCTCCCGATACAAGATGGAATTCAGTAGTTATGCTGGAACACCAAGAAACCTTCCACCACTGCTGCTCCAGTACCTAGTGTATCTAAGACTGAGCTGGGACATGAAAACCGAGACATCACCCCCACCCCTCCACTAAGTAGCAAACAACATTGATTACCACTGCAGGGTTTGAGGGAACGGATGAAGAGGTTTTCTGTCCTTAGTGGCTAAGAGCTGAAGGCGAGCAAAAACTCTGAGAAAGAAATCCTGGCACTCCACCACTCTCACGCAGAGCAAGTAGCAGCAGCCCACTGTTAGAAGAATTGTTTGGTTTGAGGTAGGGTCTTATTCCGTGATCCAGGCTGGCTTGAAACCTTGAACTTTTTGCAAGTCTCCTGCCTCAGCTTCCTGAATGCTGGGATTGCAAGTGTGAGCCACTGCATCTGACTGCTTAGAGAATCTGAAGTCTGTGTGCTGAAGTTAACCATAAAAATAAAAGTGAAATCACCAGTGATAGACTTTAACTCAGATTACTGCATTAATGGCATAACAGTAGGAGGAACATGTGTGTTTCTGAGAGTAAGGTTTCTTTACACAGTTTCCGACTGTTTTCTCTATAAAACAGTTAACATTAAATCCAAAAATACTAAGACAGAAAACAAACAAAAAAATACAATGGCACGTACCTGCAGTCCAAGTGTCTTGGGAGGCTGAGATGGGAGAATTGGGCTTAGGAGCTTGAAACCAGCCTGGCCAACATAGTGAGACCCTTTTTCAAAGGGGAAAAAAGGAAAAAAATTACAGAATAGTCAAATGAAATTAAAATTTCTCATGAGATGAAACCATTGAGTTAGATCCAGAGATGATCTTTATATATTGACATTCTCAGGAAGGGACGTTAAAATTGTAATGACTAGGGTATTTAAAAATCTAATGGACAAAGATGGGCAATATGTTTGAATAGACAGCTTATCAGCAGAAAGAAACCATTTTGAAAACATAAAAAATTATAGATATACAAAATAGAGTATCAAGTGAATGATTCAGTAGATTTATCAGCAAAGTTAAGAATCGGTGAACCTGAAGATAGGCCACTCAGAATTACTCAATTAAAACGCAAAGAGGAAAAAATAATTAAATAAAGAACAGGTCATCTAAGAGGTAGGTAAACTTAACACTCTCAGGGATCAGCAAACCTTTTCGTAAAGGAATAGATAGTAAACAATTTAAGCAGATGAGATATCTGAGTTTTCTCATTTATTCAACTCTGTTGTTGCAGTAGGAAACTGGCCATAGACAATTTTGAAGGGTGGGCGTGGTTGTTTGTTAAAAGCAATATCTTTACAAAAACATATCCGTAGAATGTAGTTTGCCAGCACTAGCTCTAACTTATGTGGGCTGGAGTTTCAAAAGATGAAAGGAGGAGGAGGAGGGAAAGAATTTTTGAATGGATAATGACTAAAATTAAAGTATCAGAAAAGAGAACAGACCACAAATTGAAAATGCTCATCGAGTTCCATGTCTGATACAAGGAAAAAGACATCTAGGTGTATCATGGTAAACCAAAAATAGGGAGAATATCTTGAAGGCAGCCAGAGAACAAGTAAAGAGATACGTAGAGGACCAGTGACAGCAGATGTCCATCCAGAATCACCACAGAACAGAAGGCAATGGAGGGGGGAACGTTACTCTCGGGGGAGGGAGTCCTATGTCCAGCAAAAAGCTTTTTCAGAAAAAAGACAAAAATCAAGACTTTTTCAGTCAGCAAAGCTGAATATTATAAACCATTTGTGCTTCAATTAAAGCATACCAGAGTGGCTAATTTATAAAGAATAGAAATTTATTCCTTACAGATCCAGATGCCAGCATCTGGCGAGGACCTTTCGTCATGTCCTCAACATATGGGAGGGAAAGTGGGGACAAATGCTGTGTCTTCACATGGCAGAGAGGAGAGGAGAAAGAACTCCACCATGTGACCCTTTTGTATTGGTATCTAATCCTTTCTGAGGGCAGAGGCTTTTATGACCTAGCACCTGCCCAGAGTCTCCACCTCTAAGCACAGTTGCACTGGGGATTAAATTTACAAAACACAGGTTTTGGGGGATACATTCAAACCTAAACACAGAAAATTCATTGTCAGCATATCTGTATCATAAGAAATCTCAAGGAGGAAGGAATTATGCAGGAGACATGGGATTGTCTTGAAATTTTCCTTACCACAAAATGTTAGTGGTCTAGACCCTCCAATGAAAGGCAGAAATAGAAAGTTTGGATGAAAAAGCTAGACCCAATTTTATGCTCAGATTTTGAAAGTAAGACCTTTGAAAGAGAGGATAATTGGACAGCTGTGGAATTTGTGTGAGAAAAATACCTTTATCAAAAATACTTCAAAGTATAGGGACATCTGAATGATAGTGTGAATTTTTTTTCCCCCTATGGCTTTACTTAAACTTCTATCTTTGAAAGATTATTTAATCAAATTTTATGCTAAAATAATAAATACAAGGAATTCCCTTGATTGTTGTGTTTAGATCCTGGTAATTTTTAAAATTCCTTTGTGTGTTAATTTTAAATTTAATTATTTTTAAAGCAGTTATATGTAATGAAAATTAAAGATTTTAATTTTCCTTAGGGCATGAGTGGCAGGATGAATTTTCTCGTATTATGGCCATGACAGATCCAGCTTTTGGATCTTCAGGAAGACCGATGTTGGTTTTATCATGTATTTCTCAAGCGGATGTAAAAAGAATGCCCTGTTTTTATTTGGCTCATGAGCTGCGCCTCAATCTTCTAAACCACCCATGGATGGTAAGTTCCTAACTGCCTTGGTGAAAAAAAAATTTTTTTATTGTATTTTTTAGTTATCTGTTTTTCTTTATTTATATTTTTATGTGTATGAGAACTTTGTTTTTCTATAACAGCATACCTAAAACAATCAACTTAAAAAGAAAAAGGTGGTATATTTTGTCTTACCGTTTTTTTTGTTTTTGTTTTTTTGGGGGGGTCTTTTTGAGACAGGGTCTCCTTGTAGCCCCTGCTGTCCTGGAACTCACTATGTAGACCAGGCTGGCCTTGAACTCACAGAGACTCAGAGATCCACCTGCCTCTGCTGGGATTAAAGGCATGCACCACCATACCTGGCTCAGTTGACCATCTTAATTTTGAGCCTGTGGCAAAGCAGATGATCATAAGAGAAGTGAAAGGCAGAGGAAGCCTTTGACTTGAAACAAAAGTTGCAGAGGAAGGGACTGAGACGTCCCATGTGACTAAAGACTTCCCACTAGTTACTTTCTTTTGAACAGCACTGTCGGCTGGAGACCAATCCTCTGACACACTGCTCATTAGGGAACACTAATTTGAACCACAGCACTCATCTTTTAAATGAAAAAACACTCTAGTCATTTTTAAGAGCTTAGTTGGTGGGTGTTATTTGATTTGTGTTAATAAATTTGAATTGATCACTTGCTCCCTACTCTCCTCTCCTGTCATGGGAATAGCAAGCAGTCATTGGGGATGGCTTTTTAAGGATGCTACTGCTGTGGTTTTCTCAGCACTGACGCATTATGCTTTGAGTCATAAAAATACAGGCTGTGGGAATGAGAATGTAGTTTGTTGGTAAAGTACCTGCCCAGTGTACACAGGGAGCTTGATCCTCAACACCACTAAAAATAGGTTACAGCTCATATTTTAATTATTAAAAATTATTAATTACATTAATAATGAAATCCTGGGCTGGAAAGATGGCTCAGCGGTTAAGAACACTGGCTGTTCTTGCAGAAGACCTGGGTTCGATTCTCAGCACCCACATGGTGGCTAACAACCATTTGTAACTCCAGTTCTAGGAGCTCCAACACCTTCTTCTGGCCTCTGAGGGCATTGCACAACATGGGTGCACTTATACACAAGCAGGCAATATACTCATACACATAAATATAATAAATAAAATGGTTCCTCCCCTAAGTTCCTGCTTTGGGTTCCCTAGATGATGGACTGTGCTGTAAGCCAATAATCCCTTTCCTCCCCATTGTTTTTGGTCAGTGTTTTTTATAAGCAGCACAAAGTAACTATGATACTAGTCTAGCTAAAGGTTTGTTGATTTTGTTTATTGTTCAGAAAACCAGCTGTTTTGTCTTTTGTAATTTTCAAGGCACTATTGATTTTACTTTTTGTTACTTCTTTCTGTCTGTTAGTTTGGGGTTTGATTTGCTCTTGTTCCTCTTGGCTCCTGAGATACATCCTTGAGATGTTTATTTGAAATCTTACTTATATACTGTTGGTCCCAAAGCCTCAGTTAGTTAGGCCATTGAACTATGAGCTGACCCCTGAAATCTTTCTGCTTCTTTGATGTAGGTGTCTGCTGTTCTAAATTTCATTTTTCTTGTTTTGCTTTTGCTGTATCCCATATATTTGGTATGTGGGTTGTTTTTTTTTTCTGTTTCTATTTGCTGAAAAAAAAATTTCAGTTGTCCTTAGAATTTCTCCAGTGACCCATTGTTTGTTTTGTAGCTTGTTTTTAAGTCTGTGAATTTGTCTGTTTCTGTTTTTTTTAATTTCCCATTTTATTCTGCTATAGTCATAAAAATACATTTTTACATTTTATTTATTTTTGTTTTTTATTTATTTATTTTTTACACTTTATTTTTGAGACTTGTTTTGTATTCTAATATGTGGCCTAGAGAGGATTCCTTGCAATGATGACCAAAGTGTATACTCTGCAGCTTTGGGTAAAATGCTCTCCAAGTGCCTGTCAAGTCCATTCAGTTAAGACTCATTTTTACATGTTATATTTATTATTTGACTTGGTAGGCTCATTAAAAAGTGTTGTAGTTTTTAAAGTGGATCCAGTGGAGGAATTGTTTTCCCTGTTGTATACAAGCAAATCACAGAAATGCCTGTCTCTCTTACTTCTAAAGCTGAATTCTGAGGTAAATTGTGAGACTAATACTGAAATAGTTAAAACATATTTATCTAATTTCTCCTGATGACAGTATTTGAAAAAGCTTTCTCAAAATTTATTTGGATTATTTTATTTCAGTCTTTTTCTTTCTTTTTTTTTTTTTTTTTTTTTTGGTGTTTAAAAAATTGTGACTCCCAATCATAAGATTCTCAACACGGGTTTCTTCCTGATAGCTGTCTCCCCTGTCTTCCTAGGTCCAAGATACAGAAGCTGAGACTCTGACTGGGTTTCTGAATGGCATTCAGTGGATTCTTGAGGAAGTAGAATCTAAGCATGCAAAGTGATGCTCCTTTTGGATCTTGGGAAGCCCAGGGTTACGATGTGTTTCCTTGGTCCGTCTGCCTTTTTGTAGGCAGCTTAATATTGGGCAGCTATAAGCTGCTGTGGTTTTGATAGAATTTTCGAATTTTACAGAAAATCAGTTATAAGTTTCAACCCTTATAATTTACCTTTGAACTTTCAAATTTTTGATAACTTTTGCATTTTCTGTCTTTTGAAAATATTAAATTCTTCCAAAAAATAGTTTGTGACTCTCATTCTTTGTGACTTCTATCCTTTTTGGTATAAAGGTTGCCCTAATGGGCAATGGTAAATATGTTTAGCTTTCCGTAGGTGCTTTTCAAGGATTCATTAACTGGTTATCAGAAAAAGGTTTCTAATCTATTTTTGTTTGTTTGGCTGTTTGTTTGAGGCAGGGTCTCCTTGTAACCTCAGCTGGCGTGGCACTTGCTGTGTAAACCAAACTAGCCTCAGTCTCACAGAGATCTGCCCACTCTGCCTCCCAAGTGCTGCACCACCATGCCAGGCTTTCTTTCTTTTTAAAAAAATTTTATTTGTTATTTTTATTGGATGTGTATAAGTGTTATGCCTGCATGTAGGTAAGTGCACCCATGTCATGCAGTGCCTGCGGAGGTCAGAAGACACTGTTGCATCCCCTGGGACTGGAGTTACGGATAATTGTTAGCTGCCATGTGGGTACTGGGATTCAAACTCAGGTCTTCTGCAGGAACAACCAGTGTTCTTAACCACTGAGCCGTCTCTCCAGCCCCCAGGCTTTCTTTCTTTAACAAACATTTTTATTCGTTCTTTGGGAATTTCATACAATGTATTTTGTAATTTATTCTTTATTTAATTTAATTAATTA